CTGTGGCTGCCAGGGGGGGTCTTCAGCAATCAGCCATCAGATGGAAGTTTAAACTCAGAGTAAAAGGGGAAAAAAAAAGGGGGGGAAATTCCCTCATTCCCTCGCTGTGGATTTGCAGGCGTGGCTGCCAGCCTGGATGGCAGTGCTGGCACAGGGGTGGTGTGCCAGCCTGATCCTTCCCATCACTGCTTCGTGACCTGCACCAGCACTCCCAGCCACGTAAACTGGGAAAAATGGGGCTGGATCAGCCCTTTCAGCTCCAGCCTCTCCTCCAACCCCAGCTGTGGCATTGCCATGAGTCAGCCCCAAAGGCTCCGGCCATCCCCTCCTCCTGCCCATTCCACGTGTGCCCATTCCCTGGGGAAGGGGCAGTGGGGGCAGTGCCCCATCCACCCCACAGCCATGAGGGGGCCATGGTCAGGGCCTGGGGCTCACCTCCTGCCAGAAAGGCATCAATTTATTCTTTCACATGATAGAAATTCATCAAGCAAGGCAACGCCTCACTCTTCCAAATCAGAGCATAAATTTGGCATTTCCACCTGATGGCTGCACACATCACACTGCTGCAGCCCCCAAAACCAGCAGGGAGGATGCCCAACAGCCCTGGCACTGCCCCCACTTACCAGGCAGTGCCAGCTCCTGCTCCCTGGGCCAGGACAGAAATCCTGGGGGAGGCTCGGGTGCCTCCTCACAGTTTTTATAGCCCACAGGTGCCTGGCAGCACCAGCCTCACCTGGGGAGTGTGGGGTGGGACAGGTGTGGCAGCAGGGAATGGGGATTGATGGGCATTTCTAGGGAAGGTCATGATCTCCCTGTCACAGGTTACAAACATTCCAGATGAAATGTGGGACTGAAAATCAGCCCTGCTGCTCTCCTCATCTCCAGACCCACGCAAAAGCAGGGAAGTTTTAACTTCTTGCTTTTGGAGGGTTTTTTAATGTTTTTTTTTTCTTTCTTCCCTATTTTTGTTCTTTCCCTTCTGTCCTCCTAAATCTGGTATAACAGAAAAAGGAGTAAATAAAGAATTTTGGAAAGCTCTTCCAGCCTTGCTCTTCCTGGCTTATGGAGTGGAATGGAGAGGGAGGCCCAGAGCACAGGAACCACAAAACTTTGGATAGCTGGATTTTCAAAACAAAATTGGGTCTAGAAATGGAAACTTTGGTTAACTGAGATGGGGATGAAAACTTCATTTCATACTTGGCTGCAAAGCTGGATCTTCATCATCCTCTTGTTTTGGCACTGCCCCAATTAACCTGAGCCATTTTTCCAGTTCCATCAGCACAGGGTGTTTGCCATCATCCCCTGAGCAAGCAGCTGCCCCAACTCCCTGAGTCCCAGAAAACACCAGCACAGCTCAGCATCCTCTCGTTATAACTTCATAAAAAACTTTATTCCCAGAGGTTTTGAGCAGTGAGATCCAGCAGTGGCACCTGTCCCTGAGCCTCTGTGGGAGTTTCACAGCAATTCCTCCTGGAGGAGCTGGGGCTGCTCCTGCATCCCTGTCCCAGGCCAGGCTGGATGGGGCTTGGGGCACCCTGGGACAGTGGGAGATGTCCCTGCCATGGCAGGGGTGGCACTGGATGGGATTTAGGGTCTCTCCAACCCAAACCGGGATTCCATGACCCGGGAGAACGAAGTGTCCCAGTGGAGCTCAGTGAGCACTGGGAATTCCAAGGAATCTCCGCTCAGGCCGAACCCTCCAGGACGGCACGAGTGGCACAGGGCTGCTGTCCCCATCCCCAATGACACACTTTTTTGGGAAGCACATCGCTCCACTGGGGCTCCTGAAAGCACAACAAACTCCACCGAGGTGGACTTAAACCCGTGCTTGGCTCGGAGAGCAGGAGCCGGGAGATTTCATCCCCTTCCTACCAAAGCTGCTTTTATTGTCTTGATCTAATGAAGTGCAGACTTCACCTGGACAGAGCCATAAGTGGCTCCTCTCGGAGGCAATGAATACAAATACTTGACCTCGTGAGCTGCGGGGCAGCAATTAGTTTAAGCAGGGGGTTTGTGTAACACTTCAAAAGTCTTAATCCGTGCGGTCAGCCCTGGCACGGTATTTGCCAGAGCGCATTGAGTAGTCTTAATGAGTCTGCAAAGCGAGCTTTCAATACATTTTGGGTCGCTTCAGATGCTTTAAATGGCATAGTCTATATGGTATTGTGCGGCTTTAGAAAGGGCCGGGCTTTAAAAAAGTATGGTTCCCTTTCACAGGGCAGACAGAAACCATCTTTAGAGCCGGGACCCTTAACGTTTTGCATATCAATACGGCTGGGGCTGAATGCAGTCACTCAGCTGGGAAATAGGATCACTATCAGCGTTTCCAGCCTTTCACAGGCACTTGGGAAACTTTAAAGCCCTTCGCGGAGAATAATTTGGTCGAATGTCGTCGCTGGAAACAAAACCTAAACAAGCAGAGCGCAGTCCATCATGCGGAGCTGCCAGCCAGGCTGACAAGGGGCTCCAGCCGCTGCGACATCCCGCCCTGGAGGGGACACGGCCGGGGGTCACAGCCGGGGGACACAGCCTGGGGGGGACATCGATGGCTGGGACAGGGCTGGGGGACACAGCCTGGGGACACAGCCTAGGGGGGACATTGATGGCCCCGGGTCACAGCCTGGGGGACATGGCTGGGGGTCACAGACAGGGGGGTCACAGCCTGGGGGGGGACATTGATGGCTGGGACATGGCTGGAGGTCACAACCGGTGGTCACAGCCTGGGGACACATCCTGGGGACATGGCCGGGGGGGACATTGATGACCGCGGGTCACAGCCTGGAGGACACAGCCAGGGCAGGGGATGCTGAGCCCATCCCACCCTGGAGGGGCTGTGGCTGGGGGTCACAGCCTGGGGGGACACGGCCGGGGGTCACAGCCTGGGGACCCTGCCCCGGGCAGGAGATGCTGAGCCCATCCCAGCTGTGCTGGTTGATATCTGGAGGTCATAGCCTGGGGGGTCCCAGCCAGGTCAGGGGGTCCATCCCAGAGTCCATCCCAGAACAGCTGCATCACTCCAGGACTTTGGGATTTCAACCAGCCCTGGCTTCATCTCCTCTCACTCTGCCTTGGCAGTATCCTGCTTTACCCCGTGACAAAGCCCTGGGGGCTGTCACCTCCTCGATGGCCCAATCCACACAGCAGCTGGCAGCTGCTTGCTGTTCTCTCCAGCGTCACCTAAAGCAGGTGTCATTTGTCCTGGGAACGGACAGGAACCTGCCCAACCTCACCTGCACCTGGAGCATGGGACAGGAGACAAACCTCACCCCAGGGACACAAGGGAGGTGCCAGGACCTGGAGCAGGGAGAGCTGTGTGGGATGGAACTCCGGGTGTGGGTGTGAAACCACCCTGGACAGGGGAGGAGAAGGGGTGAGGCCCCTTGTACATCCCAGAAGTGGGACCTGCCTCCCTCCTCCTGCCCAGGCAGCAGCAGCAGCAGCGACAGGAAGCACCTCAGCAGCCTTGGGATGCTGCATGATGGAAAGAACCACAGCCAAAGCAGATCTGCAAATAATGCAGGGCCTGAGGGCCCTCCAAAACTCATAATTAGCTCATTAAACAGACAAATACAAGTCACTAATAAGATCATAGAGGTTAATTAAATGTTTTCCCCATCTTTAATTAAGGGAAAACTAGTTAGTAGAGATTAAAGTAATTTCTGCAGCCTCCCATGAAGACCCTCGATGGCTGCAGATTTGAAAAACTATTGAGATTATTGAACTGAGAGGGCAGAGCTGGGTAAATTGTGGAGAAGCTGGAATTTTCCTGCTAAGGGTTAGAAAGGCCCTGCCCTACCAGCTGGGCCACTCAAGGAACATGGGAAGGTTATCCACAGCTCCCTAAGCCAGGACCTGGCATTTATTCAGAACTGCTGCTGTTCATTGTTCTGCTCGGCTGGGAAATTCCTGCAGACTCTTTTCCATCTCCAAAACATCTCCCAGGACTGGGGTTTGCTGCCCAGCCCTCCCCTGGCCACCAGGGACTGTGTCACCCCCAGAACCCTCAGCTGTGTGGCCCAGAGTTCTCCAAAGGTTTCATTCTGGATGGATCCACAAGCCCTGTGCACGCAAACCCACAGTCCCACCCAGAACCCTCCCAGTGAATGGAGATCAGCAAGGTTTATATGGAAGAATATTTAATCTGCTCAGGGAGGGGAGAGGGCTCATCTGAGGTTTTATTAAATATTTCTCTCTACTCCAGAAAAGTCCATTTCTTGTCAGAAAAGGTCCGATATAAATTAGAACAAAGGGAGGAGGGTGCTGGTGGGGTGGCCACGGGCATCCCTGGGCCACAGTGACCATGGGCATCCCTGGACCATGATGACCATGGACATCCCTGGACCACGATGACCACAGGCATCCCTGGAAAATGACCATGGACATCCCTAGATCACAGTGACCACAGGCATCCCTTGACCACAGTGACCATGGGCATCCCTGGGCCACGATGACCACAGGCATCCCTGGACAATGACCATGGGCATCCCCAGATTATGATGACCATGGACATCCCTGGACCACGATGACCACAGGCATCCATTGACCACAGTGACCACGGGCATCCCTGGGTCACAATGACCATGGCCATCCTTGGACCACGATGACCACGGGCATCCCTGGACAATGACCATGGGCATCCCTGGACAATGACCACGGGCATCCTTGGACCACGATGACCACGGGCATCCCTGGACAATGACCATGGGCATCCCCAGATTATGATGACCATGGACATCCCTGGACCACGATGACCACAGGCATCCATTGACCACAGTGACCATGGGCATCCCTGGGCCACAATGACCATGGCCATCCCTGGGCCACAATGACCATGGGCATCCCTGGGCCACAATGATCGCGGGCATCCCTGGACAATGACCATGGGCATCCCTGGACAATTATTACCACAGACATCCCTGGCCAAGGATGCCCACGGGCATCCCTGGACCACAGTCCTGGCAGCGCAGGTGCCAGCCCGGCAGCGTGCCCTGGGGATGGGCTCAGTCCCACCCAAAATCCTGCCCTGTCATCTGGTAGAACTTCATGTTGAAGGGTCTGTAGAACTCGCGCAGGCGCTGCACCACCTGCCCGTCGATGGTGGGGTGCGGCCGCCCCTTGGACTTGCCCAGGCAGCGGGGTTTGCTCCCCCCCTCCGGCTTCTTCAGGCAGGGAAAGCCCTTGGTCTCGTTAAAGTAGAAATGTCTGTCTGTCACCAGCCTCTGGAGCCCCAGGAAGTCCTGGACACGGCCCATCTCCCCGGCGGGGTCGCTGACCAGCCTCTCCCCGCTGACGAAGAGGAACCTGGAGAGGGGGAAGAACTGCAGCCAGTTCTCCAGGTGCTTGGCGTAGATGCCGATCCTCACTGCGCTCCAGCTGGTGTCGATCAGTCCCGTGCTGAGGTTTTTGAAGGCCAGGGCCTGGAAGCTGGGGATGGAGGGGTTTTTGGACAGGGTCTGCGTGTAGTCCGAGATGGCGCGGGTGACGGGGTCGCGCACCACCACGATCAGCTTCGTGTCCCGGGACATGCTGTGGATGCGCCGCGGGGCCTCCTTGGTCACAAAGTAGCTGGGGGTCTTCTCCATGGTGATCTGTCCGTCCAGGGTCCGTGGCATCAGGCTCCTGAGGACAGACAGACACGGTCAGGTCTCAGCTGCTCCCACCTGATGGGACAATGGGTGGGAACAAAGCCCAAAACCCGGCCAGAAAGGCTCAGGGGCTTCCCAGCTGTAGCCATGATATTTTCTGAAAAATCCCTTTGCCAGGATTTTTTCTCCTGAGAAGCTGAGAAGCCTCAGAAACAAAATGTAATCAATGGTTATCTGCTGCTGTGGAATGCAACAGGTGCATCTGGGATTGGTCTCATGTGGTTGTTTCTAATTAATGGCCAATCACAGCCCAGCTGCCTCTGACTGTCTGGTCAATCACAAGATTTTATTATCATTCCATTCTTTTTCTATTGCTTGCAAGCTTTCTGATTAAATCCTTTTCTTCTATTCATTTAGTATACTTTTAATATATCATTTACATTTAATATAATATATATATATAATAAAATAATAATTCAGCCTTCTGAAACATGGAGTCAGATTCTCATCTCTTCCCATGTCGGGGCTGCCTGCAAACTTCCGCACCCAACCTACGGCCACATCTCCCCTTTCCTCCTGCCCCACCTTGTCACACCCCTCTGGTCATTTCTCATCCTCAAAACCTTCCTAGGAGCTCCAGCCTCTCTGCCCATCTCAGCATTCCCTTTGTCCCCCCCAGTGTCCCCAGGCAGGAGCTCCCTGTCCCCTGTCCCCCCAGCAGCATCCACAGAGCACCTGCAGGCTGCTGCTCCCCCTTGGAATCCTTTCCCAGCCCTGGAAATCCCAGCCCGCAGCTGCAGAGGGTGAGGGACACCTCAGCACAAACATTTTGGGACAGGGCTGGTGTTCATCCCTGCCTCCAGTCAGATTTCACGTCCTGGAGGTTTCAGCTGGCCCCGTGGGATTGCAGAGGAAAATCCCGGAAAATCCCATCACGGGGGTGATGCCCAAGCACCAGCTGGGAACGGAGATGCCCACCAAGGCTCCCTCCTCCTCTGCCTCCAGACAGGGAGCAGTTAAAGCCAGAAAAAGACTGTTTCCTTTTCAAAAGAAAGGCAGGAAAAAAACCCTGAGGGCCCAGCTATTGTGCTGGGTAAAATTCACTGCTCTGATTGTTCCCTCGTGCACTTTAATGAGGCATTAATTGCCGCAGAAATTACCCAGCCGTGTCACCCCGTGCGACAGAACGGGTCCTCCCTGCCACCAGCACAGGCACCTGCCCCGCACACCCTCCCACAAAATCCCGGAATGTTTGGGAAGGTGTAGGAGCGTCGGGGGTAGCACGGTCGGGACGGATGGAGACGAGAGATCTCTGCAGCCAGGGCTGGGAACTTGGGGTTTATTGGGTGCAGGGGCCTTTTGGAACTTGGGGTTTATTGCAAAGGGCCAAGTGCAGGGCCCTGCTGGGAGCTGCCAGCCACAGCTCAGAGCAGGCCCCAGAGAAGAGAGGGGGAGAGAGGATGAGAGGGTAAGAGAGCAAAAGCATAAGAGAGTAAAAGGGGTAAGAGCATAGAAAAGTAAGAGCTAAGAGGCAAGAGCTAAAAGCACGAGGTTCCCGTTCCAATACAATAAATCTTCTTCTGTGTTGAATATTCTAATTCTCACTAACCAATCTAGGACCAATCCTACAGCATTTACATACAGCCTGTAAGAATCACTACATTACCACACTGTGTTACATTTTAAACCCTAAAAACTCCTCTTTGGGCCCCTTCTGCCAAGCTGTAGGGTCTGCTCTGACCCTTGGGCCTGCCTGCAAGCAGAGGGTGTTGTTCCATCAAAAGGGGATTACCTTCAGTGGCCACACCATTGTTTTCCAGTTGTTCAGTAACTGAGGGATCTCAAAGCTTGCTTTCATTTCAATCTCACTGATAGTTTCCATATTCTCAACATCTTTTGCCAGGCAATCATATTGATAAGGCTTTCCTGCTTCGTCTTCCCCAACAGGAAGGGAGCTCACAGATGCCACCCCTGCCAGGGCAGGGACCCCTTCTGCTGTCCCCAGGTGCCCCAAGCACCATCCTGGCCCTGGACACTGCCAGGGACAGCCAGGGATCCTCTGGGAATTGCATCCCAGTGCTGGGGCTGTGCCTGGCAGGGAGCTGGGGACAGGGACAGGGCTGTGCCCAGCAGCATCTGCTCCTTATGTCATGGGGAAAGCTTGAGGTTTCTGGGATATTTCCCCTGGACTCAGGAAAGAACATTTTATTAAAAGCATTTGTGAGCGACGCTGGGCCCCCACAGCTCCCTCCCCCAAACAAGAGCAGAAGCCATTTGTGGCTTTTCTCCCCCTCCACCACTTTTATTTTAATTTTTGCACAGTGCCAGCGTTTTTAGAGGCATTTCCTATCCCTGGTGCCCTCACCTGGCAGCACAGCCCCCGTTTGGCACCATGGATGCATTCAGGGATCCATGGACCCCAGGGCAGCCACGGCTGTTTAACTGCACCTACCAGAGGCTGACTGACAGAGCTCCTGCTGGGAATCCCCTTCCCAACAGGGATTAGTCCCTGTCCCAGAGCCCAGGAAAACCCAAGGGATGGGGATTGGGATTCACTGGGAGCACAGCACGGCTCCACCACCCTCCTGTGGGGCTTCCCGACGAGCTGAGCATCCTGAACTTCAACTCCATGCAGAAAACACCACAGGGCTTTCCAGGCTGCTTCACCAGCCTCTCCTGGCACCTTCCTGAGGCATCCATTCTGTGTTTCCTTGGGATTTCTGAATGGCTCCATCCTCATCCTCACTGCACCCAGCCCTCGCAGCAAACCTGTGCTCAGGGTCTGACCCAGCCCCGCTCCTCAGTGGGCAATAAATTGTTTATTACCCACGGCAAACCCGGGACGGGGACCTGGAGAGGCCCCACTAAACCTCAGCCCGGCCCTGGACCCTTCCAGGGATGGGGCAGGCACAGGGATGGGGCAGGCACAGCCCCTCTAGCAAACCCCTCCTATCCCTCCCTGTCCTGCACAGGGACATCCCGGCCAGGCTGAGCCTCCCAGGGCCATCACACCACCCACACCTTAATTACCGCGTAATTAACAGAAGTTTTAATGAAAGACCGGCTTGGGTGAGGTCTCCCAGTGGTTCCTGTGATGGGTGCGGGGACCTTCAGTCCCTGAATTTCCCCATCCCAGGCACATCCCGGGATCCCCTCAGGAGCAGCAATGAATGGTGCCACTCCTCCTCTTCCTCAGCAGCCCCAGCTCCTGGCACAGTAATTAAACATTTCACAGTTTCATTAATGCCCGAATACTTCCCCTAAATGAGCCGGTTAATTATTGATAACACCCAGCTCCCTCCAGCTCTGGCTTAAACTGGCAAAGAGCAGAGCCGGCTTTGCTGGGCTCCACTTTAACCCAAGCATTAGGAATGTTAATTAAATTTACAGTTAATTCTTCTTGACCTAAGAGAGCACCCTGGGAATGCCAAGCAGTGCCTGCAGGTTCAGGACACGGCACTGGGGGAGCCCTGGGAGGAGCTGGGATTTCCAGAGGAGACTGTGTGCCCAGGGGGAGGATAAAAACCCTTCTGCCTCTCTATTAAGCTGATAAATGTTTGTTTTTAATTAATAAAAGAACTGGCACTTGAGAGGCATCGGAGCTGGGAGTTCCTACATGGAGACATTCAACACATGAAAATGCTTCCTCGGCTAAGGTAACACACAATAAATTACAGCAGATAAAATGATGATAAAAATGCAGAGAGCTGCATTAAATAGTGATTAACAGCCACAGCAGGCAGGGAATCAAAGCAGACTTCAAAAACTGGGCCAACAGAACTTTCCAGAGTTAATTGCTTCATGATTCCCGATGAATTTTTGGAGCAGAACTCCTCCCAGCACTGAGCTGAGAGAGCAGGGGACGCACTCCCAGGAGATAAACAAGTCTCCAGCCCAAAGCATCCCTGAGTTATCACCCAGGGCAGTTCCAGAAGGACATGAACTCTATCCCAGCCCAAAGCAGGGGAGCAGCACAGGCTCTGCCTGCTGCTCATCCCCTGGAAATGCCAGGGAGGAGGAATTTCCACATGGACACAGGAAAGAACTGGGACGGATGAGCTGGGAAGGGATGAACCAGGAGGGATGAACTGGAAGGGATGAACTGGGAGGGATGAGCTGGGAAGGCTGAGCTGGGAAGGATGAACTGGGAGGGAAGAACTGGAAGGGATGAACCAGGAGGGATGAAATGGGAAGGATGAACCGGGAGGGAAGAACTGGGAAGGCTGAGCTGGGAAGGAAGAACTGGGAGGGATGAACCGGGAGGGATGAACCAGGAGGGATGAGCTGGGAAGGATGAACCGGGAGGGATGAGCTGGGAAGGATGAACCGGGAGGGATGAACCGGGAAGGATGAACCGGGAGGGAAGAACTGGAAGGGATGAACCGGGAGGGATGAGCTGGGAAGGATGAACCTGGAAGGATGAACCGGTAGGGATGAGCTCCCCAAGCCGCCCGGGACCAAATTAGCCCGCGTTCCTCTTTACCCTCATTACCGAGCTGCTCCCCTTCGCCTTCCCCGGCAGGTCCTGGCAGTGCCCCCCCAGCGCTCCCCACCCCCGAGCTGCCCCCATTATTTTTGATTCTTTCACCGATTCAAAAATGTGCAAATGAGGCCGCGGCTTCCCAATCAGGCCTGGCCGGGAGCTAATTGCCTTTAAGCAGGGAGCCCTGAATATGCTAATGAGGGCAGTAACAAGGCTGCGATGCGCCTGCAAGGGGAGCCGAGCCCCGGGCTCCACCACGGGCTGGCTGAGACACGTCAATTAACAAGCAGGCGGATAATTTATTAATGCTCCTTTGCGCCCCTCTGCCCTTTGCTCCTAATTACCGTTTGATACATCACACAGCCAGGGGCTCTGGCGGGTCGTGCTCCCGGCTGGAGCATCCCCAGGGGCTCCTCCTGCCCCCCAGAAGCCCCAAATTCCCCCCTCACCCCACGGCTGGGGGGTCCCCAGCCCACACAAGGGACCCCCGAGCTCTCCCAGTGCCACCCCACGGGGTCCCTGGGCTGGGTTCGGGTGGATGAAGAGTCCCA